AATTCTAAAGAATTCTCACTCCATTTTAATCATTCCACACCTCATACAACACCATTATATTAACATGTAATCATCCAACAACTCACCAATAACATCTCAACACATTTTCCAAAATCCAAGTCATGACACCTCAAAAATATCCTAAAGTTAAAAATCCAAATTTTTCACCTAAAATTTTCATTGCATCTATAGTTAATACACATTTTTCTAAGACACTTTCATGTACAAATTTTTCCCAATTGAGCTCTCTAACATCACACATAAAAAAATCAAGGTTTAGGGTTCATGAGTATCAACTACAATCAAACCATGTAAATGGGATGGAAATATACTCACAACCAAGGCTTGATGCTACCCCAAGACTCCACCAAGCAATGGAAGATCAAATGACTCCATGAATCTCCATTTTTCCCCAAAAATTCACAGCTGTAAATGGCTTGTATCTCCCCAAATACACGGTTTCAAGGCTCAAGAGTGGTACCAATGTGTTTAGAAGGTGTTTTCCATCAAGATTCAAGACAAAAATCGATGGATTCGGTGGAGAAACGGCTAAGTTGTGATCAAATGAAATTTTGCACAATAAAAGGGGGGAGGGGGGCTGCTGATCGGTTTTGCAAGAAGAAAGGAAAGGGAGGTGATGATGAATAGTGAGGGGTGGGGTGGCTTAAGTGAGGTTTAAGTGGGTGGATCCCACGCCACGTCACGCGATTTAAATTTCATCCTAACTTTCACTAAACGTCCAAAAATTCACAACCTATTTAGAAACTCTAATTTTAAACATCAACCATTGTCCTTTATTTATACTTGATCAGATGAATCCGGAGTTTTCCGCTCATTCGGAGAAAACACTGTTTTAAGCTATTGCGCGCGTCGTTGGCACGCTTCCCTAAACTGATTTAATTCCATCAAATATTATCAGAAATAATATTTCCTAGTTCTATAGACCATTTATAACTCATATTTGAAACCTAGAGCTTAATACTCAACTGGCACATTTTACGGTGCAATCGTACCGCGGTATTTTGACCCGGTAAAAACACAATTCACTGATATTTCTGAAACTTGCCTAACCACTCAATTTTTCGTTCTGAATCCATTTCCAGTGTTATTTTTACCATCTGAGACCTTCTACTCAATTTTTATCTTCCTAGGGTTGCGTGTTGGCTAATTATCGTTTTGCCCTTTCTTTGTATTTTGGCCTAGTCTTTAGGATTTTCACTAATCCTTCACTTAATTACTCATTTAATATTTTAAATACTTAATTTAAAATTGCGAGGTGTTATAACAAACACTACACAACTCAATTACACAATCATAATACAAAGTCATTTCACAAAGTGTTGAATTATCAAGTTACCAAATAAATCATCAATAATTTTTATGACATCAATCACTCTAAATATCATTCTAAGCCACTTTTATCTAATATATAATTTTGATTTGAGCTCTCTAACTACATCAATTCTTACAACCCAACCCTAGGTCTCCAAAATTAAAATTCATGATTCAACCAATAAAAAGTGTTAAAACTTACCCACAAGCTTGGTCTAAGACTTCTCCAAGGGATACCAAATCAAAAGCTTAAACCCAAAGCTCAAGAACTCCAAATCCCCCACCAAAGTCGCGGCTGTATATGGAGCTTTTCTCCCAATCTAGCGAGTTTCAAGGCTCAAGACTGCCATGGTTGTGTTTGGATGATGATTTCCTTCAACTTTGGTGACAAACTTTGTTGGATTTGAGTGAGTTATGGGAGGATGAAGTTTTGGAAGAAAACTTGGTCTTCCATGGAGGGGGGGCGCAGGTTCTTGGGTGGGAAGGAGAGAGAGAAGGCTAATTTCTTGTGTTGTCCAAGGTGGCAAGTCCACTTAATTGAGGTAGACCCCACCGCAACCTCACGCAATTTCAAACTAATTCAAATCTCCCGCCTATTCCGCTAAACGTCCATAATTTCATAAACTATTTAGAAACTCTAATTTTTAACATTAACCATTGTCCTTTAATTTCCCTTGATCAGATGAATCCGGAGTTTTTCAGTCGTTCAGAGAAATCGCAGTTTTAAGCTGTTATACGCGTTGTGGGCATGCTTCCCCAAACACTCTAATTTCCATCAATTTTCACCAAAAATCATATTTTCTAGTCCTATGTACCATTTGTAACTTATATCCAAAACTAGAGCTCAAAATTCATTCGGTACGCTTTACGGTGCAACTATACTGCGATATTTTTACCCGGTAAAAACACAATTGACCAAATTTTCAGAAACTTACCAAACCACTCAATTTTCCGTTCTGAATCCATTTTCGGTGTTAGTTTTTCCATTTGAGACCTCCTACTCAATTTTACCTTCATAAGGTTACGTGTTTGGCTAATTACCGTTTTACCCTTCCTTTGTCTTTTGGCCTTAATTTCAGAATTTTCACTAATCCTACCCTTTAATCCACTTTTAATATATTAATATATATTTTAGAAATGCGAAGTGTTATAGAAACTGTACAGATTAAGACATTAAGATAACGTAAGAAAGTAATATTAGGAAAAAAAAAGTTTATCCGCCTTTTTACAATAATTAAAATTAGAGTAAATACCCTTTTTGGTCCTCAGAAAATTTCACGAGGCCCATTTTAGTCCCTAGCAAATAAAAAGACCCATCGTGGTCCCTCAAAAATTCAAAAGGACCCATTTAGTTGAAATCATGGTCCCTCACAAATTCAAAAAAGAGCCATATTAGTCCTCAAAAGGACTAAAATGGTTCCAATTTAAATTTTTTAGGGACCACGATGGGCCTTTTATTTGCTAGGGACTAAAACGGGCCTCGTGAAATTTTCTGAGGACCAAAAAGGGTATTTACTCTTAAAATTACTTATGTTAAGTCTTTCGCTTAAATCATAGTTTTGTGACGCGCTATTGTAAAATATGCATGTTAGCTAATCGGCTGCAGACGGGGTGTTACAATAGTGATGGGGAGTGATTGAAAGAGACTAGTGTTTCTTATTTTGTGCATGGGAACAAAAAAATAGAAACAAATTTATTCTTTTTTCTGTTCCCCAGCACAAAACTTAAACTGGTTCATCCTGGGAACAAAAAAATAAACCGATTTTACCAAACGAGTTTTCTACCCGTTTTTGTTCCCAGGAACATGAATTAAAAAAAAAACTGATTCCGAGAAGGTTGTCATGCACACCCTTTGTCCATTCGCTCCTTATGACTATGTATTCTGGGAAGTTATAATATTAAAGTTTTTTTTTCTCTCTCCACGTCAGTCAACAAGTTTCTGAAGCGAGAAAGAAAAACAACTTTAATATTATAACTATATATTTCCCAAAGTACATAGTTATAAAGGGGTGACTGGACAAAACCTTATATACAATCACATGACAAACAATATTGCCATATATATATATATATATATATATATATATATATATATATATATATATATATATAGATAGGATCGTTTGACAACAGTGTCAAACTTTGAAATTTGATACCAAATCCTAACCGTTGATTTTCGCCAATCAACAATTATCATTTATTGGAAATTAATAATAATTAATAAGTTTTGATTCCTAATAAATGATAATCTTTGATTGGCGAAAATTAATGATTAGGATTTGATGTCAAATTTCAGAATTTTACATCGATATCAAACATTCTGCCCCTATATATATATTATTTAATTGTAACATTTAATTCAAAAATAAATTACCTATTTCATCCTACTAATTTTGGGTTCGAGTCCCTAGAAAATCATATTAATATAATTAAATTACTTATAATTAATTAATATATCAAAGTATAGAATATGGAAGGCTTTTTGACCCTTTTACCTTTCATTAATTAATTAATAACCATTTTGCCCCTTATTGAAAACTATCTATCAATCTGCCCCTCTTTAATCGATTAACTTGAATATTTAATCGATTAAATGGTTAAAACAGACAAAAAATGGTTGACTCGAGATTTAATCGATTAAATCTCCCAATTTAATCGATTAAATCTGCAAAATAATTTTCAATAATTTGGAAAGCTTACTAGAGCTGGGCTTAAGTGAGAACAAGCTTGCAGGACCTTTGCATTCATCAATAATTCGTTTGAAAAACATCAATATTCTTTATCTTCATTCCAACAATTTCACAGGAGGTATTCATGAAGATTTTGGACCTACCTTTTTAACGAATGTGAGCTTTGCCAACAATAGTTTTTCTGGAAACCTCCTTTCAGGAATATGCAAGGGAGAGAATCTTATCTATTTGGCAGCCAGTATGAATGGGTCCAATCTGGACTTCGTTGATTTAGGACATAATCGGCTCTCTGGTTTGTTATCAAGTAACTGGGGAGAGTGCAAAAGTCTCTCAAGTTTCAGCATATCTGCCAATAAGGTACAAGGGAATATCCCTCCTGAGCTTGGGAAATTGTCAAGTTTGGAAAACCTTGACCTAACTGACAACAATCTCACAGGAAATATCCCGGTGGAGCTTTTTAGCTCATCTTCCTTGCTACTCAATCTAAATTTGAGCAACAATGATCTCTCAGGTCAGATACCAACACAGATAGGATAACTTTCAGAGTTGCGGTATCTGGATTTATCAACAAACAAGATTTAATCGATTAAATTGGAAGATTTAATTGATTAAATCTCGAGTCAACAATTTTTATCTGTTTTGACCATTTAATCGATTAAATATTTAAGTTAATCGATTAAAAATGAGCAGATTGATAAATAGTTTTCAATAAGGAGCAAAATAATTATTAATTAATTAATAAGGGATAAAAGGGTCAAGAAGCGAAATATGAAAACCTAATTTTTTTTCCTTCTGTTTTTGTGAATGAATATATTCAACATTATTCCTTAAAATAATGTACCATACTTGGCTCGCATGGCACACTCTCATTGGTAGAATCCAAAGATTACGATGTGAGCATCATAAACCCAATCCTCTGGTTGCTATCTAGATAGGAAAAAAATCTCCCAAGTTTTATTTTTTGTAGTACATATTCTATAAATTTTTAAAGTTCCAATGGATAATAACACTTTACAAACAGAACATATCCAAAACTCCATGGCCACCATATTCTCATCACCATCGACCATTTTCTCCTCCTCCTCCTCCACCGCAGCAACCACCACCAACCCACCAAAACCATCCTCCTTGTCCAAGTCTCTCCTCCCTTTAATAGAACACTCCAAGCAACCTTTAACCACCTTAACCGCTGCCGCAGCCATAGCCACCATCCTTACCAGTGCACCACCTTCATTAGCGGCGGACTCGTCAGCCACGTACCAAGTCTACTACGGCACCGCCGCCAGCGCCGCCAACTATGGTGGCTACGGTGGTAACTCCAGCAAGAAAGACTCCGCTGAGTATGTCTACGACGTGCCTGAGGGTTGGAAGGAACGTTTGGTCTCAAAAGTTGAGAAGGGTACCAATGGAACTGACAGTGAATTCTACAACCCAAAGAAGAAGTCAGAGAAAGAGTACCTCACTTTTCTCTCTGGATTTCGTCAACTTGCGCCAAAAGATGCTGTTTTGAACAACTTGGCTCTTTCTGATGTGGGCTTGCAGGACTTGATTGCCAATGCAGAGAGCTTAATCTCTGAGGAGGTGAAGGATGATAAGGGTCAGGTTTATTATGTGTATGAGATTGATGGGGTTGGTACTCATAGCTTAATCTCTGTGACGTGTGCTATGAACAAGCTTTATGCTCATTTTGTCAATGCTCCCACTCCTGAGTGGAATAGAGATAAGGACATGCTGAGGCATATTCATGACTCCTTTAAGACCGTGGGATCATATTAATTAGCTTGTGTTTTATATATTTGATATACATGATGATTATCTGTCCTATGCTGAGGATGGTATCCTGTGATGAATTTGAAAATTTCACTACATGTCAGTTTGCTTGCATTTTTGGTACAATTGGCTTCAATTTCTAACTTCCAAGAATCCCCCACATTGAATTTTTGCTATGGAAAATAGAGACTAGCTTTTACAAAACTAAATTTTGTGTGGTTTGCAGTTAAATCTAATGTGTGTTCTGGCTGTTTGTTGCTTAAAATCTCCTGTCTTCATTTTCTATTATCTTTTCTCTCTGATATAAAATTGGAGTTTTTAACGGGTTTTGGAGATGTTTTCATGTAAATTTCAATTTCTGATTTTTAAATCAGAATTATGACTAATGACATTCTGGGTACGCTGATGAAATTGCTGTATGCAGAAATACTCCTCTGGTTCAGTGGCCTCTTTCCCTCTTGAGAGATTCACTTCCATGATCCTTTCTGTCACTAATGTTTATAGCCCTATGTCAAATCTCAACACAATACGCATGGTTACTTGTAACAGCAACACCAGTTTGCCTTACAATATTCAAGTTTATGATGGTTATGAGGTTATCAATCATTTTCTCTTAAAGCTGGGTGTGCTTCTCTTTGATGAAGCTTGATTTCAAATACATTATGTAATTTGATTCACAATGGGATATGTCTTTACCAATTAGTTTGAGCTTGAACACTTATAATCTGCAATCAAATATAGCAATATTGTGGACTATAAAATCATGCCATTTCTCCTTCAACATATTTCGCAGCACAGATATATTTGTTCCCCTTATTTTGGCTCTGCTTATGTTAAATGTTGTTTTCTGGTCGAATTAATTGATCTATGTTCAATTGCAATACAAATTCATGAGCATAGTCTTCAACATGAGTTAATTTACTGAGTTTTAAGAATGTGATGCGGCCCAACCTTGGAAGACTTATAGGCTGTTGTGAAAGGCTAATCAGGGACTCTACTGAGTTGATTGGCCGAGGCTTTGCAAGTAGTTTATTTTTTATTGTCTTTCTTTTCCTGTAGTTGTTTTAAAAAAAGGATTTTGTAATACCTCACGTTGAAACCTGCTCAGCAGCTCGCGAAGGAATAGTACCCACGTTGCATTGGGATTATTCACCTCCCACCATTTTGTACCCCTCCAAAACCACTATAATCGGTGCCAATTTCTCCTCCTCTGCGATTCCATTTCCCAAATAATATCTCTCGACCTTCCCCAACCAACGAAAAGCGTCATCTCTTGCAAAATTAGGAATTTCCAGCATCCTTGGTACGTGGCTCATCGGGTTTGGTCTTCGATGATTCCCCCACTCATAGGCTTCAGAGTCATGGCCGTTGCTTCTGCTCCTTCTACTTTGTGAGTGTTTCCTCTCACTTCTGGTGGCCATGTCTTCCAGTCTCCGATATATATTTTTTTCTTTGGCTAGCTTCGTTTTCTTCTAATCTCCTTATCACCTCATCACCTCATCGTGCCTAATAATATTAATCGTGCACAAAAACCCTCCTCCAAAACCTCCAAACAGTTCTCCATTCTTCTAGTCTCCATCGACCACCATTCCACAAAGCTCCTCACTCAGAGTTCTGATACCAATTAATATAGACTTCCAACAAGAACCAGAGGAATTTAAAAGACACCAATTATTTGGCCTTGATAAAAAAGTTTTTTTTTTTTTTTTGATATAAATGGAGGGCCTAGCCCAGAAAATCTACAAAGTCAAGTTATGTAAACTAACAGCTGCACGCTCTACCAGCAATCTCAAACAAAAATGATTCCAAATGGAACCTATGCTAGAAGGGGGAAAGGAAAACAGCCTCATCTCTTCACCCTCACAGCATAAACCAAGATTAGCTAAAATGTCAGCAACCTCATTCTGCTCTCTAGGGACAAACACAACTTGAACCTGATCAAAACTCGCAGCAGTGTTTTTGATTGATCCAATTAAGCTAAACAGTCCACAAGTTACAGGTTCAGCCGCAAGACAAGAGATGGCTTCCTTACTATCACAGCCAATCCATACCTTGTCAATTGGTAGCCTTTCAGCAAGATTAAGGCCATAACAAAACCCCCTAAGTTCAGCTTCCAAAGGTGAGCAAGGGCCTATGTGTTGGGAGAAACCACTCAACCAGGTGCCATTTGAGGAGCACACCACCCCACCACAAGCTCCTCTACCAGATGCCTGCATAACAACCCCATCCACAAAAACCATAGTATCATTTAGTACCTTTCCTTGATCAGCTCCACCCGATAAACATACAGACTCCGAACTAGCTGAAAAAGGATCAGCACCACCAATCCTCTTCATACCTTCTAGATACTGCAGAATTCTAAGAATTGGATCTTGTGGTCTAGTAAATGAAGCATCGTGAACTGTGGAATTTCTCCACTGCCATAGGTACCAACAGGTTACAAAAAAAATTTCCTTCCAAGAATTCCACAAATGGGAGAAAAAAGGTTTAAGAAGATTAATTCTAAACCATTCTCTACCATCTGTTGAAAAGAAACTAGCTGGGATTTGACCTCCAAACCACCTTCTCCAAATATTCCTAGCTATTGTGCAGTCTCTAAGGGTGTGTAGTACAGATTCCTATTCCAGTCCACAAGAAGGACAAGCTATTTCCCCTCCACTCCAATGACATGTAATGCTTCTAACAGGCAGCCTATTCAGGCAAGCTAACCACAAAAAAACAGCAATCCTGAAAGGGCCCCTCCACTTCCAAATAACTGGCCAGATTCTGTCTTTATCAGAATTACTGCTTATCAAGTGATTATAAGCATTTTTAACTATAGATTTACCTGGGCTCAACACCTTCCGGTTCAACCAATCCTCTGAGTTGCCTGGTTTTGGAGGAGCAATATTACTCAGCCTAATGCAGGTATGGGTATCCAAATGCTTGATCAGGTACTCCCACTTCCAGTCTTCAGTGCTGGGATCCACAGCATCCCACACACTAAGATCCATATCTACCAAAGGAGGCTTGAAGGATGCCAGCTCAAACAAAGTATTCTGCCATCCTCCCCAGCAATCTGTCCAGAATTTCACAGACTTACCATCCATAACTACCCACTCTAGATGACAAGATATCTTAGAGTGAGCCAAGCAGATTTCACAGGGTTTAGCTATCAGAATTCAGTTAGGATTTTGCTTCCTCCCATATTTTCCTAGCAACACCCGAACCCAAAGGCTATTTTGACCTGCTATGTAGCACCGATACTGACACGGGACACGTGACACGATACAACACGACACTCCGACACGTTAATTCTAAAAAATATTAGATTTCGACACGTTAGGACACGTTTTGATATTAAATAATATTTTTAATTTATGTAGTGTATATTTTATTTAATATTTAATAATTTAACAAAAAATAAAACTACACTTATAATATTCATCAATTTTGCAAAGAAACATAAATTATCCTAAATATTTATATTAAACTCAATAAAATGATAATCGTAATCCAACGAATCTAATAGTTGGAGCTAAAAACTCAACACAACGTAACCTTTGAACTTTTTTTTGAATTTCTATAATGCGTGTTGGAGTGTCGGGGAGTGTCGAAGTGTCGGAGAGTGTCGGACACGACACGTTAGGATTTTTGAAGTGTCGGTGCTTCATAGTTGACCTGTTATAAGATTCCATGTCAGCTTCTGTATGAAGGCCTCATTCTGAATTTTTAAATTAATAATGCCAAGCCCTCCACACTCCTTAGGTTGGCACATAGTCTCCCAAGCAACATAATGGGCTCTCCTTTTGTCCTCTTGATCACCCCAAATGAAGTTCCTCTGCAACCTTTCAATTTCCTGGCACACATGAGCGGGGATAGTATTATTCTGCATATGGGAACTAGGAATAGCAGAAATCACACTTCTAGCTAATGTAATTCTGCCTGCCATTGATAGGCACTTAGATTTCCAACCTTGCAGCTTATTCTGGACCCTAGAGATAACCTCAGCATAATGATCCTTCTTAATTCTCCCATGTCTCAACATAGACCCCAGATATCTGCCTAGATTGTCTACCTTCTTGAAACCACTCACATTAGTAATGGAACTCCTAACATCCAGAGGAGTATTCTTAGAGAAATAGATACAAGATTTCTCTATGCTAACACTTTGTCCAGACATCTTTGAGAACTTATCCAGACATTGGGAGATGCAACTAAGCTGACTTAAAGAAGCCTCAGCAAAGATGATAATGTCATCAGCAAACATAATGTGTGATAAAGGAGGGCCATATTTCCCCACTTTAATTGGAAGCCAGTTACCCTCATCCACCTCATCCAGGAATAAGTGTGACAACTTCTCCATGCATAGGACAAATAGATAAGGGGAAAGAGGATCCCCTTGTCTAATTCCCCTCTAAGAGTGAAAACTAGGAGTTCTAGCCCCATTCCAAAGGACCTCCAAGACAGGACTAGAGACACACCCCATGACAGCTTCAATTAATTCACCAGGAAACTTCAAGTCTTTTAGAACCGATCTGATGAATTTCCAGCTAAGTTTGTCATAAGCTTTTTCTAAGTCTATTTTAATAGATAAGAATTGCTTCTTTCCCTGCATTCTGTGCATAGTGTATGAGCTCCTTAACAATAATAATATTGTCCTGGATATTTCTCTTAGGAACAAAGCTGGCTTGGTTTGGGGATATAAGCTCCACAAGCAGGGGCTTTATTTTGTTAGCCAGAATCTTACTAAGACCTTTATATATAATGTTACACAGAGCTATAGGTCTGAACTGCTTCATCAAACAAGGTCTCTCAACTTTGGGGATCAACACAATCAAGGATAAAAAAAGATTTTGTATATATTGAAATGACAGAAATTACAATATGAAAGATCTTGTTCAGTTGTTCTGCAATAGATGAAAAATTACAAAAGCTTGTGGAGTAAAACAGAATAACAAGAGGAACAACGAAATGAAGAAAAATGTGAAGAAATTGGAGATGCTACACTCTCCAAGGGTTCCCAATTCAGATTCTCCAAACCAATATGTTAGGAATAAAATCCCTAAAAGAGAAAATCAAAGGAAAATAGAGTCTGATTAATTTCATGCATAATAGAGATACATCCTTCTCTCTTCTTATAACAAGAAGATAGTAACTATCCTAACAATTCATCAATAGAATTTTGAAAAATGCGTAGCTATATGCCATGTCCCTTATTACAAGCCAGCACATCACTATAGACGTGTGAGTACAACCCTAAAGTCACTAAACAAAATCCTTCTTCCAAGCTGGTGCCCTTTTCTCATGATTGGGCCTTGCTGCTCCTACCTTGGGCCTGGCTTCCTGTATCCTATTGGGTTGCTCTTCATGCTATTGGCCCGTAACATCCGCTTCCCCTTCAAAGAGGACCTTATCCTTAAGGTCCAAGTGTGGGTAAGCTTGTTTCAAAGCATCTTCAGATTCCCACGAAGAGTCTTCTGGTACAGTGTTGGATCATTGGACGAGAAACTGACGTTGTGGCACGCCTTTAACAATGACTACCCTTGCCATCATCATAGTAATTGGGGACTGAACAGGTCTGTTGTCTATAGCCTCAGTGGGCAATGGAGAAATCTGAGGAGAAGTACCATGGAATGGTTTGAGAAGAGATATGTGAAAAGTTGGATGTATACAAACTACCGTTGGAAACTCCAATTGATACGAAACTGGACTGATAACACGCAGCACTGGAAAAGATCCAAAGAATCGTTTAGCTAACTTATGGTTTCTCCTCTGAATCACTGAAACC